TTTTTTTTTAACATTTCAACAAATTCATCTCAATTTGCATTATTCACAATTTAACAAATAATTGTAATTATTCATAATTTTGTTTTTTTTTTTCAGAGATTTAAAATTGGATAATATTTTATTGGATTCGGATGGACATATTCATTTAGCGGATTTCGGTATGTGTAAAACGGAAATGAACCGAGAAAATGGTATGGCATCAACATTTTGCGGTACACCAGATTACATTGCACCTGAGGTATGAAACATTCATTATTTTATACGATTGAAATTTACTTTTAAAATATTCAAATTTATGCTTCTTTTCATCGGTTACTTTTTTGATTTCTGTTGAAAAACATTAGCATATGATGTAAAGGAATAAAGGAATGATGCATTATCGATTTGGAATAAATGAAATGTGGGAAAATTTGAAATGAAAAATGGATATTATTTCAGGATAGTTATTGAGAAAGTTAAAATCTGATGGTGCCATTTCACATTAAGAAAAAAAAAAACCTTTAATATGCTTCTAACCTAATTATCGAAATAAAATAATATCCTGAAGTAATTCTGAGATATATGAAGGATAATTATTCAAATCCCGTTTATATCTTATTCAAATAATTAACAATTATAGCAAAAATTATGATAATGATAATGATAGTAATGATAATAATGATTAGTATTTTTTTTTCTTTTTTTAGATAATCAAAGGTCAATTATACAATGAGGCGGTTGATTTTTGGTCATTTGGCGTTTTAGTAAGCCTAGTTTCTTCTTATTTGCTTGCTTCTTCTTTTTTTTTTCAACTTAAAATTTATTATGAAGTATAATTTATTTCAGAGAAAAAAATCTTGAAATATTTATTTTATTTCAATTCATTACAGTTTGTTTTAAAAAAGAAAAAAGGTTTTTGTTTTTCTCCAAATTTTGTAAATTGATTTTAATTTAACTTTTTTTTTTCAGTTGTATGAAATGTTAATTGGACAAAGTCCATTCCATGGTGAAGGAGAAGATGAGCTTTTTGATTCAATTTTAAATGAAAGGCCATATTTTCCAAAAAGTATTGGCAAAGAAGCTGCTAAATGTTTAAGTGCGGTAGGTGTTGTAATGTATTACTTATCTTATCATAAATAAATAAAAATTAAAACTGAAAGGTTAAAGGTTAAATTTCAAATGCATATTTAAATTTAAATGTTTGAAAATGTTTAGATTTAAATGCTTGAATCGAATTGTAATTCAATTTTGTATTAGTCATAAACATTTCCTATTTAATTAAATTTTCAGTTATTTGATCGTAATCCAAATACACGTCTTGGTATGCCCGAATGTCCAGATGGTCCAATACGAACCCATTCGTTCTTTCGGGGTGTTGACTGGAAACGATTTGAAGCACGACAAATGCCACCACCATTTAAACCTTCTGTGGTAAGAATTAATATCTAATTAATGTTTTTTTTTTGTTTTTTTTTTAATTGGCAATATCATTTTTTTTTGTCGAAAAATTTTTACTTTTGCTTTTCAAATTCCCTGAAATTAAAATTGAAAAATATTTAAAGAAAAAAATTTCTGTCCATATGAAACAAATCGAAATTTTTGTTTATGAAGTACAATGCTTTTTCTTTTTTTAAATTTAAAAAATAAAAAACATTTCTGTTTTCCAGTTTTCCTATTACTTATCATTTTTTTTTTTTAACGTAAAATTTTGTACAATATTTCTATGATTAGAAAAAAAAAAAAAAAATATTCCGATTTTCCTATCACATTTACTACTACTTATTATCATTTATTATAACATAAAATTTTATGCAAAATTTTTTTGAAATTAGGAAAAAAAATATTCCAATTTTTTTTTTAATTCCTTTTTTCTCAATCATTTATCATTTATCAATTTACCATTTATTTACTTGTTATAATTCCTTTCATTGTTATAACTATTACAGTGATAGTAAAAATATGTTGCTTAAAATTTTGCAGAAAGCAGCAAATGATATTTCCAATTTTGATGATGATTTTACGCAAGAGAAGCCAACGCTTACACCAATTGCTGATAAAACATTATTAGCATCAATTGATCCGGAAGCTTTTTTAAATTTTTCATATACTAATCCGGAATATAAATAATTCAACAAATTGTACTAGTTTTTAGTTTTTTTTCTTTTTCTTTTCCTTTCCTTTTTATAACCATTTCCTACTGTTATTTTAAAATTTGTAAATTTTATATTATGTTACTTTCCTTTTTTTTTTCTATTTTTCTTTTTAAATTTCGTTTTCGAATTCAAAGATCTCTTCAAATTTTTTTTTTTTAAGATTATTAGTTACAGCTTAATAATTTTGTTATT